GAGGTCGATTGAGCGAAAAGTAGAAGAATAATTACGAACAAAGAGTCCTCTGTTATTGATCAATGTCGATCAGTCACGGTTCATAGTTTTTCGCCAAGAGTATGACGATCGATCGAGGATCTATCGAATTGGAACACTGGTATCGTTGATAAGTATTGAACGGCGATTGCTGGAGAACTGTTCGCAATTCATTGTCCACTGCGTACCAGGGTAACATGTGCCCGCGACGCGACGATCGATGGGACTGGTAACACTGGCCGCGCATCGATTATCGAGTCCCAATTACGACCCGTGATATGGTTACGATCGAGTCAATTCGGTGAATCATTATCGACGGAACGGTTTAATCACAGTTCACTGGTTTGCTGCTCGAGGAAAAATAATTGTCGCCGAGCGATATGGACTATCAATTAACGGGAGCGATCGTCGCGATTGGTTCCTTGACGATCGTATTGAGGATACGACCTTGGATCTATAGAAGCGAGGTCAACAGAATGGGAACACTGGCATCGTTGACGAGACCTCGAAGAACAATCACAGCTCACCGTCCCTCAACGAGCGGAATAAATTCGTTGGAATTGTGCTGAACGAGTTTAGAACACAGAAATCATTGACAGATATATTCTCGTAAGGTCCACCATTGACTTTCTAACGACATCGCTCTGTGACATAACCACGAACCAGAGATCAGAACCAAGTTCACCACCAGCCTCCTCCTTATTTTTGCAAGCCCTCGTGAAGATCCATTTTATAAAGCCACTTCACGGACGAGTCCTCATATCTGAATTCGTACAGAAACGCGAGTCCAGATCCAAGGAACGGCCCGCAGCTTCCCACGAAATCGCGTTTCCTCCTCGGCCCGGTCCACGACTCGTTTCCTTTCCTCTCGGCGACTTTCCCGCTAGGCGTATCGATCCCGTCTCCTCTCCTCTCTACCGTGCGTGGCAGTGGCAGTGTGTCCGCGTCCTCGTTGCCCGTCCCGTAAGGGAAAATCCCGCGTCCGACGACGCGTGAGTCGCGCGATCCTCGTGATCGATGACCAGCAGTCTCGTCTCGCGAGGGCACAGTCGTCGGTATCGGTGACTTGCGTGTCGCGCCGCGGCACACGTGACTCGAAGGTCATATTCCGGTCGGGATCGATCCGGGAACCGGGGTCTGGTTTTCAGGAGGCGGCGGCGGCGGCGTCACGCCGCTCCCGGAAACCCGTCGGAGTATGCCTGTACCGACGATCGGTCCACCCGCGGCCGCCGATCGATGCCCCAGCACCCCTCGACGATTCCTCGTCAAACAGACTCGATGATGCTCGATCGAAATCGAAAACGTGCCTGCGTAGATTCCCGAGTCTCGAGGATCTTCTCACGTCCATCTCATGTCTGAGTGGTAACTACTCTCATCAGAGGATTACGCCACGGATACCATTTATCATCCGATGCCAATGGTTGTTACGGATCAATCCAGCGATTCGGATCGAGGGTTCTCGATCGGTTTCGATCGACACTAAGAGGTTTACGAATGTAATCGCGATCTTGGACACCCGAACGATTGCCTGATATATGTATACGTGTGTACACGCGGCGAGAAACTCTGGTCGCGATGAATGCTCGCGACATCGAACGGTCCCGCGACTGCGCACGCTGCACGCGAGTTCCCTCGAGCCCTCAATTTTCCTCTCTCGTACCCTTCTTTCCGCTATGTGCTCCCTTCCGGAGGATACGGGGTGGCCGCGACCCGGTGGTTGGTCGGTCGCTTGGTAGGGACCAAGGAAAAGATGGCAGAATGTCATGAAAGGATAATGGTAGACCGAAATCCTTAGGACACATGTGGCAGCCATCGAGGACAAACATTCGAAGGCCATTTTTTGATTCGGAAACGATCATTAAATCATATATATAATGTGAGTTCTTCGATGATAATTGAGGAACAACATCCCTGGCTCAATTTTAATTGAGATTTCTCCTTATTGATTAACAAATATTCATTTTAACATTCTTGAAAGAATTATTAAGGGCACAATCGACATATGAGAATCTCCATTTATATGCACAGATAATTATAATAGAATAAATATTGTACATACGAAATATATTCCCTATAATTTTATTCAACTTATACTTATAAATACTCTTTCTAAATGAGTATTTAATAAGAAAGCATTCTCTACAAGGGTTCATAATTATAGAACATTGGACGAAATCGAGAGTGACTATGCAGGACAGTTGGAAATTATTCGTTTTACAAGTGTCCCGATAACAGTTTCGTCTTCGTCTGGTACAGAAATTTTCTTTTGTCTAGCAGCGAGTGCCACTCGTCCGCTTCATTGACTTAAATAACAATGAAAGCGCAAAGACAACAAGAACCATCGACTTTCTTGCTCCAATTATAGGTCGGTCGGTACACATTCACCGGCGCCATTCATTGCGAACGAGTAATCATCCCCCAAGGGCAGATCCGCGATGCATTTGCATAGAAAAGTTGCATAAACTAAACCAAGGTCGCCCAACCTATGGAACAAATCTCTCTTCATTGAATTATTCCGAATTTAACGCTACATGCCTTTGGTTTCCCATCCTTTTTTACGTATTTCGCCTAACCGTCTGGTACCCTGGTCTATGATAAACTACAATTGCGGCGGGAATCGATAAATCAATAAAAATGTTCTGCGGCCCGAGTTCCAGCGACTCGATTACGCGGATACAACAGGGGCTGGTAACGTAACAGACGAAATTCCGGCGTCGCGTCGCTCGCCGTTTGTCGGTGCACCGTCGAGAAAACGTTGAGTCAGATTTATAAATAAACCCGCGTTATCAGATGCCCGCCACAGCTATTTTAAGCTATCGACCAATCAGTGCTAAGGTCAAGCGCGCCCACGATAATTCGAGGACTATCAAAATTTATCCGACCTCCCGGATCCTTGACTTCTTGCTTCGCTTTATTTAAAACGGTCTCAGACCAGTTCCTCTAATCACATTATTTAAAATGCTAGGATACGGAATAGATTCATTCACAACAATCAGCTGAACGTAATTATTGCAGTGAACGTTTCGTACTCGTAGAAAATTTGAAACGAGAATGAAACAAATGGAAAGCGTGAGAATAGAATTCTCCTATCTCAGTAATAATGTAAGGACACTTTAATTGAATAGAAATTTCAAGAAATAAGGAACCATGAGACTATAATTTGTAAAGTAAAGTGGCAATCCAAGTCGTGAAACGTATAATAGAAATGCATTGAAATTAACCAACACTGTATTCGTATTACTACGATAAGACGTTTTTCGAGAATATAACTTTACCTTAACCAATGAACATTCTCTCACAGTTCCATCTTTCCTTGTTACTTTTAATTTTCTAAGTGCGGAGCTTGCGGTATACGTTATTCGTTACGTCATCAATTCCGTAAGTACTATTCCTTTTCTCTTTGCGTAACGTTTATGCATTTATGCGAATGTGATACAATACCTGATGTATCAATGCGATGACACAACGACGTAATACCGCGGTAAGGTACCCTTTCACTCGATACATTATTAATACGAGAAGTACAATTAATCATTCACCTCCTTCGTACATTACCAGAATTGAATTGAAATATAATTAAGCTTTTGAACATATTTTCCGCGACCATCGTAAATTCGCTTTTATTGGCAAAAATTTGAAAATGTTACACCCTCTAGAATGGAATCCCTGCCAAAATCAGGTTTTAAGGGCCAAAATATTTGAATGATTGCCCCAGAGGATTATTTTCGCGATAACTGTAACAAACGTATTTTGTACGAAAATATTCCGTTCCCTAAAAGAATTCTCGTGTTTTCATCTACGACGTACATTTCGTTCCTAATCAGATTTAATCACGTTCTGGCTCAAAAATTCGTTCAGAAAGTTACGTAACGATTGTTAACCCTACCGATTTGCGTGCCTCGCGGTAATGGGTGTTCGCGGTGCGAAGTGACCCGGTTAGGCGCTTCGTACTTTTACTTTCCATCAATCTCAGCGGAATTCCATCGAATCCGGCTTGGGGGAGACGAAAATAAAAAGAAAAGGGGCCGTCGCGAAGAAGGGGAGAACGAACAGGCGAGGAATAAATTTGACGGGGGCGAAAAACGGGAGCAAGGAAACGATCGCGAATAGAATGCGACGAACAAAGAGGCAGCAGCCCTCGTGGAAATTGGAAACATGCCAGTAGCGCTATCGCACGGAGGGTGGCACAAGTTGTTTGGGGGTGAGTACGGCCAAGCAACGGGTGACATCTAGTCTACCGGGGAAATATTGACCGTAAAAATGGCGTCAAGCCGGGGGTAGGTACGTGTATGCAAAAAAAAAAGAGTAATTCCTATCGCGAGATCAACGATGCGTGCCCGCTCGAAATTCCCCCTTTCCCTTTGTGGCCAAAGGAATGAAGAGTCCCTTTGTCAGCTTCTCGGATCGTTCATTGTTTCAAATCGTTCGGTCGAATTGATTGAATTTTTCCACCAACGACGGAAAGTTGTCAAGAGAAGATAATTAGCTCGTGACGCAGAATTCATTGGGAATGACTATGACATCCGTTTCTCATTTCGGATTGTTAATTATTTATACCACTATTAATTACGTAAATTAAACTTCTCTTTTAATCGTTGAAATTACGTTCACTTCAGTTTAATATCATTCCTTCTTATAATAAGAAATTCATTTTGAAGACGTAGGAGTCTTCACCGTTAAGTGACACAATTTTTCACAAATCAAATAATTCAAAACCAATTTCCAATAGGAAAATGGGCAAGAAAAATCGTTTCGTGAAATGACTTGTAGATGTTTAAATAGTAGCTTAATGTGAGGCATACTCTTTTTTATAGAATTTTAATGCCCCTCTCTTGTGATGGGCCACCGTTGACCCATTTCACGGTGTACCGCGTTGATTAATAATACCGTTCAACAATCAAGCCAACGAGCACAATTGACGAACTACTTAATTTATGAAACTGAAACGCACAGTTTGGAAAGTAATTTTTGTTTGAACTTACAAGGAAAATGGCCAGGAGGTTTCGAGCTTCTGTGACGAACGTTTTTCTTGTTTCGCGGCATGTCGGTGCTCAATTCCATGGCAACTGCATAAAAGGGAAAGAAAAGTTTTGAATTAATTCGTCACGTTCCACGTAAACGCACATATTTCACAGCTTAGCTTTACTTCGCAGCGAAGCTCGTTTTATTTCTCTCCGCCCCGAATTTTATAAACGAAACAGGTGACATTAGTTTTAGTTTCTCTTTTTTATTTCAGCCAACGACAATGAGGCATTTTTCTAACAAAAGTGCACAAATCATTTTCGTTCAACAAAAGAATGTCGCGGAACAAAGCACGGTGAAAAGCAAATTTCACTCTGGGTACAGCAGACAGCTTTGCTATATTATTCTCCGGTGTATTTGCCCCGATGATGGTTTTGTTTTTATCTTGATTAAGCCGCTTAATCGAGATTCGGTTGTGAAGCGAAACAGAATTTCTGACGCCACGCAAATTAAGCTGTTACAGATTTTTGCGAAAGCGATACTGCGGGCTGAGTAAAAGCAATTAAAACTGGGCACGCTCGTTAATTCCCTTGCTTTGAGCGTATGTCAGGAAAAATTTTTAGAATTATCGTAACAAAATGCGCTTTTGACTCATTACGTAATCTCGTCCAATTTACGTTCGCAATTTCGAAATTACAGTAAAAATAAGAGTATCGAATAAGGGAACGGGACAAAAACTCACTCTTTATGGAGGGCACGATTTGTCGCAAACACATGTTACACGATTTCGAGCCGGATTATCGATTCACTCGGAACGTAGCTACCTACTCTGTTTATTGTAATCTTTCGCGAATAGAAGTAGGAGATATCTTCCAAAGAAATCTTACTCAAGCCGAAAGGCAATGAAATCGAAATATCACAGAGTTCTTCAAATAAGTAAGAAGTACAGCACATTCTCAGTTTCTCTTCAACCTTTCTACGAAATCTATTTTTGTTATTCTAGAATCTCTCCTACGCCTTTAACTTTCATTTCACCAATTTTCTGTTTCAAATAAGTATTATAAAAATTGTCCTAAAAAATAATGCACTTAAAACCGGTTCCTTTTCTCAAAGTGATTATGATAACAAACAGTAATAACATTTAATACTACACTTTTCCTCGAATACATTTACAGCGAAAACGAATAATTTTTTCCAATAAGTAAAACCCGGCAAGAATAATTTCCATAGAAATGGCTGCGGACCAGAAGTTCTTTTAAAAAACGACACGAATTCCGCGGGTGCCAACGATGAGAGACGCGTGCGTACGAGGCTGTGCATCATAAGAGACGCGAAAGTGAGAAATAGGCAAGTAGACGCCTCGGCTTAAATAATTCATTAGCCGTCGAGCGGAGCTTTGCATTGCGCGGTAACGCCGCGTCCTATCGGTTGCAGTCGAGCAAATGAATTAAGCATTCGCGACGGGAAAGACGAGTGCAAAAATAATGTCGCTAAGTGAAATCTGTGTGGAAATGGGCACGGATAAATAGAATTGAATAGTATGTTCCCAGTTAAATGGTGGATCGTGATATATTTAGGGAGAATATCTCCTGCGAAACGAGGGTGCATATGTTTGAAGTAGAACGCGGGAAGGAGTTTTTAAAAAAACGTGTCGGTTTCGTGAAATAAAGTTAAAGCTTGTTAATAAACTCCTCTCGGTTGATAATTCATGAGTACAGTATGCATTCTGATGAGGAAGCGAATTGTTATAAGCATATTTTAAAAAGTATAATCCAATTATAAAGTTCTTCCATTCCCTTTTAATAATACGCTGTTCACATTAGATTGTTTCATACTTTGATAGATCAGTGACGGTCAACTGGAAAGCAGATAAGAAGTTCAGTTTTCTTCTTGTCGATTTAATAATTAAAAATGTCAATTCGGTGCGTAAAAATATTACAGAGTTTATGTATTCCAAGCGAAACTTTAATTGTCTCGAACGCGTCCTGTATAAAGTTAGACAGAATTCACTGCGGTTGCATTGTGCGCGCACAATGTTTGAAGCTTATCAGAAACTGAAAATCTCGTAACAGAACATTCCAAAATATTTAGCTGCCGTTGTAAGGCACTGTTTGGCCTAGAAATGACTGAACAAGTTTGTCTTCCTTTCTCCCTCTCTCTCATTTTTTTAGAGCTTATCGTTGGAAAGGATGATTTGTGAAAACATTGTCGCGAAAAAATTGGTCGTTAATCCTCCTCTGTTACCCACTGAATTTTTTACATTACTTTCTGGGGGAGACATACTACACATTCTTTACTAGATTTACGAGATTCACATATAGAATGAATTATTGTGACACACACAAGTCCCAATGTTTTATTCCAACGAAGAAACGTCGACCGATCTTCGATAATTACAAAAGTTCTGGCATTAAAGCTTCTCGACATTGCGGTGCATGAAAGATACATAAATGTACAATTATTGGGCAAACAATTAGAGATGATTAATAAATTCTTTCTCATGTACAAGCTACTCTAAAATCCAATCAAGGATTTATATTATTTTCAAAGTACCTCTTTACATTTTACGATAAATACTGATGTATAAAATTCGTAATGAAGCTTCCTTCAATCAAGTATTAATTATGCTCAATGTACACTGAATGTTACATTGCAGTGAAGTGAAATATAAAAATTGAATAGATATTTATTAACATTTATTTTAGAAGGAATGTCTAACTTGACACCATCGTAGAATGTTTAGTTTTCAAATTATGCTCGTATTTTTTGCATAAATTTCTACTAGAATACCTGATACTATCCTTATCAGCAATTTAAAGATTATATACTAATTGTAAATTTACAGATAGAGCAAACGATAGTATATTAACAGAACGTTATTTCTAACGATACTGTAGTAAACTAAGCTATCTTACTATGAATAATAATTCTATTCACAATTATACATACACACTTAAACCTCAAAAAATTGACCTTTGCATGTATTTAAATAGTCAACGTCTGACGTGTGAAGTCTTCAACTTACGTACTCGATCGCTCACTAGTTTTAATTTATCGTACGGTTATATTGCGACACGAACCGAATACGTCACCGAACTCCCGAAGAACGAAATACTAGAACGTCATACCCAGCATTGAATCGACGGAATCGTCTACCTGAACTGATTATCGAGACGTAAATACGTATAACGTTTAATTTCCACTCAACCGAACACGTTTAAGGACCATATTAACCGACCTATCAAGCGAAATTAATACTTATTCAATTTCTAATCTCTGCAAGCGGCGACGATGCGACCGACGCGACCGCTCAAGTACGAACTACCCGAAAAATTGATAGCGTATTGTATTAATTGCACGTACACCGATAAGCGACGGCCGAACGTCGCGAATCATAAACATTATTTTTACACGAGTTCAAAAACAGTTTCGTTCATTGAATAAAATCATTGGAATACAAAAGTACAAATACATGAATTGCTAAAGAATTCTTGTGGCTTATACAAACAGAACAATAGTAGAAATACTTAATCCTGAATTTGTCATTTACGATGCGGTAAATTAAACTGGCGTATTCGGACTGAAGAGCTTGAAATTGAATATAGGAAAACGATGCCCGATAAAGATATTATCTGAGCGTACATATTAAATCGTAATTCAGTTCTCGTATTGCTTGGATAAACAGGGAAAATATGCTTAATTGCCGAACGTGTACTGAGTATAAAGTACTCTCACCTTTAGAAGAACCTGTATATTAACGTACATTACAAACCAGTTAATAAAGCATTCATTAATCTTTGGCATTCGTTTTCCTGGTAACTCGGATGATATATCATCCCTCACAGATTCCATTAGTTTACACAGACAGAAAACGTCGTGTTCATTCAAACCGGACGTTCCCCATATTGTCCACGTGTTCCAGCGGACGTGAACGACAGGAACGGGTCAGGAGGGGGTGTGCACCCTCCCGCGGTCAGATATCGACCCACGTTGGCCACCATGGGCCCTAGACAGGGTTGCATCTTGCCAGCAAAATGTTTTCAGCCCCGTTTCCGAACCGCGACGTCGGCCGACCTCCGCTCACCCCCGTGCCGCCACGGGGTTAAAATAGAGTTCGCCGAATGAGTCGGCTAGAATGTATATGAAATTGGAACTTGCGATACGGAGAACTCGGTGATTTATTTCCTGACCGAGTCCAGTTTTAAGGGGTCGCTGAATTTTTCTATCCAACTGGTATGTACATAGATACCAGGAAAGACAGATTTGTGCATGCGAGAGTTAAAGAAATTCCTGGTGTCCACAAATTGCTAGACAGATCTTGTCAATTTTTTCTAGTCGAGATAGAAGCAAGAAATCAAGCATCCTTTCATTTAGTTGGCATCCTTAATGAATATTTCCTGACGTCTTATAAATAAAATTCATAGGAAAATATGTATATAATAAATCTTAGAATTGAATATTATTAATATTATTAACAGGTTCTCAATAGAAATATTATTAAATCAAATAATCCTTCTCATAAGATTCATTTTTCTCCTACGGAACAAGCGATTTGAGGATGTTAATTACAGCACAAATCATCTTTCACATGACCTGAAATCATGCTCAACACCCACCGCAGTCAAGGCACCATAGAGCACCGCTCTGACAACCACCTCGATTTCCACTAAACGACGACAGACAATGGCCATCACACATAGCTATCCAATAAATTCCTGAGGCGCGGGAGTGCACAGCACAGATGCTGGGAGAAATAATTCAGAGCGGGGGCACACCGAAACCGGACACACATTGTACGAGTCCGAAGTAGAAGTGCTTCATTGTCTGGCTCGGAGGGCGCTTGACCTTCCGTAACGTATCGAGCACCCGCCAATGCTTTCTTTTCGGTTTTTCTTCTTGACGAAGAACGAGCAGGCCGGCCACGTTAGAGAAAAAAGGAAGGGACGAGTAGAAGAAGAAGAAAAGAAACCTGCTCTTCAATACGGAGCTAGCCCCCTTTTCGGATATTAGATATTGTCCTTTGTCGCCATACCTGGACCTGTCTCTCCACCGATCCATCTCCGATCGCGTGCCAGTGTCCCGTTCAGACACGGACACACACGCG